TATAATTCTTTTCATGAATAATAAAAATTTCTCAGGTATTTAATTATTTAAATTAGAATTTGCATAAAATTAGCCGAAAGAAATCAATTATTTAAACATTTTTTATAAAATTCTTCGCAAGAATTAAATTATTTTTATGAATATTTAAATTCTTTCATGAATAATAAAACCCTTTATTTAATTTTCGATTTTGTCAATTTCTTGTAAATCTTGCCATAAACATTCTTTTATTATTATTCTTATAATTAAAAAATTGTTCCTTCTTTATTGCAATATAAATTTTTTTCACAAAGTAAAATAAATTTGTGGATGTTGGGTGTTTGGTAATCAAAATGTGCATTCAAGATAACATATATATATATTCTACAAAATTACGCGCATGGATATCAAAATCTATCAATTTTTAAGTAAAATAAAAATTTAAAAAATTAAAAAATATTTTCTGTCCGATTTTATTTTATTTATTTTCCCCACAAAAAAATGATCTTAGAAATAATTTTGTGGAATATTTAAATTATTTTCTTGATATTGTTATAAAAATATCGACGTTTCTTCCCCTTAAAACAAATTAAACAAAAAAAAACAAAGAATTAATAATTAATTTCTAAGTTAATAATGTGAATAAAATTAATATTTAAAGTCACGCATATTATGTTGAATAAGTATGAATAAAATAAATAGTTTAATTTTTAAATCATTTTTAACAGTCTAATGTATTAATATTAATAATAAATAATAATATATCATAAATAATAAATAATATTAATAATCTCGAATATTTAAAATATTTATATTAAATTATAAATTATATATTATTATAAATTGTTATTAATTGTTTATGCTAATAAAGAATTAACAGTAAATTGTTTTTATTAATATGTTTAATATTATTAGAATATAATAATTAATCAAAAAATTATTTATTTGTATTATTTATTTACTAAAATTATTTATTATTTTTAATATTATAAATAATAAATTATAAATAAATAATTATAAATAAATAATAAATGAATACACCGATGACAGAATTAAAAAAAACAAATTTAGGGGGTTAAAAATTAGAATTGAATTCGTTTTTTACTTGACAGTGAAGATTCAAGGTTTTCACCTTGAAGTGTTTTACAGGGTTAAGAGGGGTTCCCCACATTCACCTGAGACGTACGTTACATTGCTTGCACAGAATTTTCCATATAGCTTTGAATACATTTAAATGCGCATGCGCACTAAGCGAGTGGTCAGTGGTATTGAGTGGACTGTGTTTAAAAATATACAGGGTTGTTCTATAATCGTTGCCTCTTAGGACATTGTCCAGTCTACGATCTTTTATCAGACAGCTCAGTAGTGTCACGAAATTCCACCGAACAACTACAGACTATTAATCTAGAAAATAAAAAAAAAAAAATTTATCCAACAAGTAGGTTTTTGAAGAATAATTTTAAATGCACTTTTTTTTAAAAATGCACCCTCTCTATATTTCTAAAACATTGTTAACATAAAAAATTTTCTCTCAAATAATATTTAAAAAAAAAAAAATTTTTTTTTTAAATACTACAAGTAAAAAAAGATTAAAATACTCAAAAAAATTCAAAATTTAACTTATATATACAAAATAGACAGACAAATAAACAATTTTCAAATTAATTTTTAGAAAAAATTTAAATAATAAAAAATGTTATTGACGTTAAAATTCGATTTTTAAATAATTTTTTTTTAATAGACGCATGTATAAAAAAAATTATTAATTTTGGAATTGAAAGAAAACATAAATTTTGAATTAAAAAGAAATAATTGAATTTCAAAATAAAAAAACAATTTTGAATTAAGTAATAATTTAAAATAAAAGAATAATTGAAATTGAAAAGATATTTTAATTTTTATTTTGAAAAAAGTTAGATTTTCATTTAAACAACTAAATTCTTATTTAAAAAACAATTTAAATACTGATTCAACAATTCTTGAATTCAATTTTTAATTTCATTAACTGTGATTTTTTTAATTGTCCTGCATGCGTGACACGTGTTATCTTAGACGCAAACTTCAAGTAGGTATTGATCGATCAAAGAAATACTTTTTACACCAGGTTGATGACTTGCTATAACTTTTGTTATACAACTATCAAGAATTTTATGTTTGTCTGTCTGATTATTAAATAAGCAATTGTTTTAAACATTTTATAAATTTTTATTATAAACAAATAAAGAATTATTGTTAAATAATTTTTTAATTACAATTTTTATTGAAATTTTTATAAACAAATTAAAAAATTATATTATAATTAAAAATAATAATAATAATAATAATAATAGTAATAATAATAGTAATAATAGTAATAATAGTGAAAGTAATATAAATAATAATAATAATAATAATAATAATAATAGTAATAATAATAATAATAACAATAGTAATAATAGTAATAATAGTGAAAGTAATATAAATAATAATATAATCGTAAAATTATATTAACGATTTTGAATAATATTTTTGTTATAAACAAATAAAAAACTATTGTGAAATAATTATTATCATTACAATTGTTATTAACATTTTCCTAGACAAATTTAAAAATCAATGTGAATGTAAAGTCGAGGTAAAATTATACTTACAATTTTTGCACAATTTTTACTAATATTTTTGTTATAAACAAATAAGAAATTATTGAAATATAATAATTATAGTCACAATTTTTATTGGACATTTTTATAAACAAAATCGAAAATTAATAAAAGTGTAAAATTATAATTACAATTTTTATTAATATTTTGTCATGTATGAAATTTATTAATATTTTTGTTATAAACAAATAAGAAATTATTGTAAGATAATAGTCATTACCACAATTATTGTTAACATAGAGATGATTGTTAACGTTTTTATAAACAAATTTAATTTCTATGACAAATATTTTTAATACAAATATTTATTTAATACATTTACGCAGACTTAAAAAGTAATAAGCTTATAAAAATTTTATAAATATAATGTTATTAATTAATTATTATAGAAATTGAACAAATTACAAAAATTTATTACTTTTATAATAATTTCCTTTATGGTAAATTTTACTAGATTTTTCTTTCATTAACAATTGTTATTAAAAAAATTATATTATTATAAATTTATTTAATAATAAATTATTTATTTGATAAATGTACTTTTAAAGTAAGAGAATAAAATAAAAATCTTTTTTTTTATTAATTTATAATATTGTAATATTAAAAATAATTATAAAAATATTAATAAACGAATTAAAATATAATCTTTTTATATTATACTTATAATATTGTCGTAAATATTTTCATAAACAAATAAAATAATTATTTTGCATTTATACTAATTATTATGACTATTAATATATTTTTATAATCAATTCAAAACAATAATAATTATTCATGGGAGTAGAATCTGTAATTTTATTTCGATTTTCACTTTCATTTTCATTTTCACTTTGATCGTTTTTTATTTTCACTTTCCTTTTCACTATTATAGAATATTATTTTCACTTCTAATTTTTTACATTTTGACAGAATTTTACTTTCACTTTCACTTAGATTTTTATTTTCACTTTCATTTCCTCTTTGAAATAATTTTTTTTCTGCATTTAAAATTCTATCAAAGTGAAAGTAAAATTACATAATCGACCTCCTTTTACATTTTTTTCAAAATTTATAAACTTCATCATTTTTATAAATAAATTAAAATTTTGTGTACATATTGTAATTTCACTGTTTAAATAAATATAATAAATAATTATAATTTGAATTATTATAAATTTTTTTAGAAATATTCATAATTATTAATAAAAAATTTCATAAAAAAAATTGTTTCAACAAATTAGAATTTGTAAAACATTATATCACATCTATATTATTATTATCATTATTATTATTTATAATCATTTTTATAAACAAATTAGAATTTGTTTATTATTATTATTATTATATTAATATTATTATTATTCAGCAACAATTATTAAAATAGTTTAAATTTAAAAATAAAGTTCTAAATAATTATTTCTATTGTTAAAAATTTATAATTTTTAATCTTATTTATTGTAAATAAATTTTAAACTTCGATATTTTATTTTTAAAAAGTTATTTTCGATTATTATCAAAATGAGAATTTATTTTCTATCGAAAAACAGTGAAAAAATAGTTTTTATAAAATATATTGTGCATTTAAGAAAATTTACAAAAAAATTGAATTTGTTTATAAAATTGTTCATAACATTAAAAATTATTATTTATATAAAATATTAACTGACAAGCGAGGACAAGAGAAATTTTGAAATTATTATTTTTGTTATTAGAAATAAATGAAGTTAAACTAATTAACTTAGTGCAATAGTTTGTTTTAGTTATTATTTATTAACTGAGTAATTAAATTAAGGATTTAATTAGAATAATTTTTTTTTTTAAATTTGTAACGATTTGTCTTTTTTATGCTCCCGAATATATGAAGGCAAACCGCGTTTGTCTATTTGTCTGTCTGTATATTGCAAATATTTTATTTCAAAAATATTCCACAACTGTTTTTTCAATTTTTCCCTTTTTCAAAAAAAAAAAATATTTTTTTTTTAATTTTTTCTTATACTTATTTACATTATTGTGTTTAATTGCTGTGTCAAATAGTAAACATTATCTAAACTAACTTTTCAATTCAACAGATTAGATATTAGACAGGATTGGTCAGCAGATTAACTGTAAAATCGAGACACAAGACTTCGTGAATGGACAATATATTTGAGACCTTGAGCCGATTGTGACAAGTCACGCGACATTGTATATTGACCCCCCTCCCCCAATCCCCCCCCCTCACTCTCCACCTACCAATCACGATCGATCACATATCTATTTTCAAGGATATCAAAAATAGTCAAAGACATTTATTTATACCAAAAAATAATTGCCTATAAATATTCATGAATTCATAACACAATGGTAATAATTTAAAATCAAAATTGATGAATTAAACAAAAAAATATTTTTTTTTGTTAGTTCGTATAATGCCAGCGAGAATATCCATTTTACCAACAGCAGCAATGGAAAATGGATTTCATGATAAATTGGAAAAAAATAATTCACCAGCATTTACAATATTACAAAAGGACAATCTCGAATCTTCCCTACCAATTCTCCAGCTGGATCTGGATGATTATGATGTTAATGGTGATGATTATGATAATAATAATGATGATGATGGTGGTGATAATTTTAAAAGAGCTTCCGCAAGGACAATGACCTTGAGCCAAAATGTCAAGAATAACTTCCAGACACGTAGACGAATTAGCAAATCAAATGATCATTTGGTATTGGCTAGTTTGCAAAGTCATCAATCAAATCCATTGAGAATACGACAACAGAGCAAGAGTCATGGTAATTTACAGAGTGATGATAATAAGGAACCGAGGAAAGCATCAATGATATTATCGACTGAGGATTTTAATGAGGTGCTTAATGCGAAATTGAGGAGAATACAGGAACAGGAGGAGGGACAATTGAGCAAGAGAAGTTCGAGGAGGACACAGGTCTCTTGAGTGATTATTTCTTTTTTTTAATTAGATTTAAGTTGTTTGGTTATTATTAAGAAGTTAGGTTTGTGGCGGTTCCTAATTTGAAGTCGAACTGCATTTCTCATATGGAAAGTAGACACTTAGGTTAATATCCATTGTAGCAAACTTCAGTTCGTACAAATTATTCGGAGTCCTGTTCTCCTTCAGAAGTCCAGTATCTCTTGTATCGATAAGTTGCTAACTTGCTCAGGGTCAATGATTGCTTGAACTCAGATAGTTTTTAGACTTGTTCACAGAAAAAACTTGGACTCATTTTTGTTGCAACTCAAAATGAGTCCATGTTAAATGACATAGAACGTAGCGCCATCTGCGAGGTTCATTTTTGTTGCAGCTCATAATGAGTCACTTTTTCGACTCATTTTGAGTTCAGTTTTTCTCTGTGTTGTCAGCAAAACAAACATAATTTGCAGCCCAACAAGCTTTTGGACTTGTTGTCAGGAATATAAACATAATTTGCAGCCCAACAAGTTTTTGGACTTGTCAGGAATATAAACATAATTTTCAGTCCAACAAGTTTTTAGACTTGTTGTCAGGAATATAAACATAATTTGCAGCCTGGTTGACAGACTCCTATGCAACCGTCAGATATTATTTTTATCATCAGTCTAGAGAGACTAATACTCTCGTTGTTCTGAATACAGACAAATAAGTTGATACAGAACGACAACACTTTAGTATCAAATACACAAACAATTTAACAATAACATTAGGCTCGCAAAAACTAACCAAAACACCAACCAATAACTATTAACAAATATATTTCAACTCAGAACAACCATAGTCCTTAATTGATATAATTTCTCCTTTCAAATTCACATAAATAACATAATAAATAACTCACTGAAGGTGTTAGGTTTCATCACCAGAAATGCTTCTAACTTTAATAATTTGTCCACAAGAAGAATACTTTACTTGTCTCTCACAGTAAATTGTAAGTTATTAAAAAGCGTTGCAGATTAAATTAATACCAAAAAGGATTAAAATAAACCATTTTGATGTTATTTCTTACTATGACTAAAATTTTACTCCAAATCAAAACTTAGTTGCTACCTAACTTATTAACTTTCTAACTAAATAACTAACTTACTACCTAACTAACTAACTTACTAACTACCTACCTAACTAACTTACTAATTAACTTATTAACTTTCTAATTAACTTACAAACTAAATTACTAACTAACTTACTAATTAGCTAACTAAGTAATTTACTAACAAACTAACTAACTCACTAACTAACTTACTAATTAACTCACTAACTAACTTACTAATTAACTTACTACCTGACATACTGATTAACTTACTAACAAACTAACTTACAAACTAACATTTTTACTTACCTTACTAACTAACTTACAAACTTAATTACTAACGAAATCACTAATTAACTTACTAACTAACTTACTAACTTACTTAATAATTTTTTAACTAACTAACATACTGACTAACTCATTAAATTGTTAAAATAATTTCTTAACTAACTTACTAATTTACTAACTTAATAACTTACTAACTATCAAACTTACTAATTAGTAAACTAAGTAATTTACTAACAAACTCACTAACTGACTTACTAATTATCATTCTAACAAATTTACTAACTAACTAACTAATTAACTTACTTACAAATTTACTAACTGTCTTAATAACGAAACTTACTATTTTACTAATTTTTAACTAACTAACTTCTAGACTAACTTATTAACTTACTAAAATAATTTTTAACTAACTTACTAATTAACATACTAACTAATTTACTAACTAACTTACAAATTAACTCATTAACTAATTTATTAACTGCTTTACTAAATAACTTACTAACTTATTAACCTACTAACTAAATGTTTAACTAACTCACTAATTAACTTACTAACAAATGTACTAACTGTTTTAATAAGTAACTTACTATTTTACTAATTTTTTAACTAACTAACTGACTGACTAACTTATTAACTTACTAAAATTATTTTTTAACTAACTTACTAATTAACTTACTAACTTTCTAATTAACTTACAAACTTAATTACTAACCAATTTACTAATTAGCTAACTAAGTAATTTACTAACAAACTAACTGACTTACTAACTAACTTATTAATTAACTTGCTAACTAATTTACTAACTAACTCACTAATTAACTTTTTAACAAATTTACTAACTGTTTTAATAATTAATTTACTATTTTACTAATTTTTTAACTAACTAGCTTACTGACTAACTAACTTATTAACTTACTAACTAACTTATAAACTTAATTACTAAGTAACTCACCAATTAACTTACTAACTTACAAAATAACTTACTAACTACCTTAGTAACTAACTTACTGATTAGGTTATTAACTTACTAAAATAATTATTCAACTAACTTACTAATTAACTTACTAACATTCTAATTAACTTACAAACTTAATTGATAACCAATTTACTAATTAGCTAACTAAGTAATTTACTAACATACTAACTAACTAATTTACTGACTTACTCACTAATTAAGTTACTAACAAATTTACTAACTGTTTTAATAAGTAACTTACTATTTTACTAATTTTTTAACTAACTAACTAACTGACTAACTTATTAACTTACTAAAATAATTTTTTAACTAACTTACTAATTAACTTACTAACTAATTTACCAACTAACTCTTTAATTAACTTATTAACTAAGTAACTAAATGTCTTACTAACTAACTTACTATTTTACAAATTTTTTAACTAACATACTGATTAACTTACTAATTAACTTACCAAGTACCTTACTAACTAACTTTAAAATTAATTACTAACCAACTCACTAATTAACTTACTTGCTAATTTACTAACTAACTCACTAACTAATTTACTAATTAACTTACTACCTAACTTACTAGTTTACTAATTTTTTAACTAAGTAACTTACTAATTAACTTACAAATTTGTAAGTTAATTAGTAAGTTAATTAGTAAGTTAATTAGTAATTAAGTTTGTAAATAAGTTAATAAGTTAGTTAGTAAGTTAGTTAGTAAGGTAGTTAGTAACTAACATACTAACTAGCAAATTAACTTACTAACTGACTAACTTACTAACTAACTTACTTAACTTAGTTACTAACTAACTATAGTTAACTTCGTTACGAACTAACTAAATTGTTAGTTACTTAATACCTTACTAAGTTAGTAAGTAATTAAGTTAGTTATTTAATAAGCTAGTTAGTAACTTAGTAAGTTAGTTAGTAAGACAGTTAATAAATTAGTTAGCAAGTTAATTAGTAAGTTAATTTGTAAGATAGTTAGTATGTTAATTAGCAATTAGCATTTAAGTTTGTATGTTCGTTAGTAAGTTAGTAAGTTAGTAAGTTACTTAGTAAGGTGGCTAGTAAGTTACTTAGTATAAGGTGGTTGGTAAATTAGTTAATAAGTTAGTAAGTTAATTCGTAATTTAGTTTGCAAGTTAGTTAGAAAGTAAATTAGTATGTCAGTTAGTAAGTTAGTATGTAAGTTAGTAAGGTAGTTAGAAATTTAGTCTGTTAGCTCGTTAGTTGGTAAGTTGGTTACTAACTAACTATTATTGTCCCTGTAAAGCCAAATTTGTCGAATTTTGACAAATCATTGACTTGGTGTTTGATTAAAAGTAAAATTTCATTCACAGTAAAAAGTAACATCAAAATGGATTATTTTTAATCTTTTCTGGTGTTAATTTAATCCTAGAGTGATTAAACTATTGCAGATTATTTTAATCCACCTTAGTGTTATTTTAACACTTCACGATTTACAGTGAGTTATAAGTTGAGTCCTAGACCACCAAACAACCACTGCATGTAGAAATTTGGATTTTAAAATCATCTGATAGAGCTCCGTTAGTTTATGAATTGGGTTCGGAAAATAATCGTCAAGTAGCGAAACTTAGGGCCAGTTTCACCAACCCCGATTAAAAATTATTAATTAATCAATGATTTAAAAACAATTTAACCGTTCATAATTGGTGGTTAAGGATTTTTGTGTCTTAACGAAAATTTGTTGTGTTGAAAAGTTGTTGTGTTCTTCAGAAGAGCTTTTCGGATACCTGCGAAAATATTTTCACCACTAAGAGGTTCTTCTTCTTGAATCTTGATTTGACATTTGTTAAATCCCAACTAAACAGCTTCTAGCAAACAGTCAACATTCCGATTCTGCATCATCCACTCACCTCTCCTTCTTCAATTACTTAAAACTTTAGCTATTTTGCATCAGCCATTCAGGATCCTTTAATTAAAACATAAAATCCAATCAGTAGTACCCTAAAGCCAAACTCCTACGACTGTCCAGATTTAGGATTTTGTATAGGAATTTTATTTTTAAAACATTTCTCCTGAAAATAAAAAGAACATCACAATAATTGACGATATTTTTTTTTTCTTTTCTCAAAATGAAAAAGACCTCCGAGCAAGTGATACATCCAAAACCCTTCTTCACAACCGTAAAGACTGGAGAATTTTTAATGCCACCACCTGAAGTTGCTGCCCTACTTGGAATCACGCCAAATTTTATTTATGGAAATCCATTTCCCGAGACAAATGACGAGACTGATTTTTTTCATCGAACACGATTTCGACATCTTGCGTCGATTAATAAAAAACCTGAAGTACGTCACAGTAGTCATAATTCACGTTGCCAGGCGGCACTCAAGGCAACTGAGGATTTCTATTATCTTCCAATGAATGCTTCTTCAATAACAACAGCATCATCGATGGACGAGCGTTCCAAACGAATGAGACGAAACGATTTTCTAAATTCGTAAGTTTAAAAAAATTTTGAGCACGAACAAATAAAAAAAATAAATTAACGCCGAGAAATCATTTTCTTTTTCTCTAACTGCAAATTAAATTAAAAATTGTTAGTATTTTTTTATTGTTGTAATAAAAAAGAAAAAAATTCCATGATTTTACTTTTTGAAAAAATGTATGAAATTTTTTCATTTTCAAATAAATGTTTACAATAGTCAAGTCTAAATATTCACTCTGGGGAAAATAGTAGAACGCACCATAGAAATTTCTATCGAGAAAATTAAATTTGAAAATTTTTAAAACAATGGCGAAATGGCTCAGTAGTTACGCACTTGTCTGCCATCGTCAGTACAATGTGTTCGAATCCTAGCAAATAATGGACTTTTTTTTAATTGTAAATTTACTGAAAGTAAAAAACAATTTATATGTCAATAATAATCATTAGCGTAATAATTAGCTTAATTATTAATTAAATATTTAATTGATGGTAATAGTAATAATTAGTTTAATAATTTTATCATAAATAATTTTTTATTTAACAAAATTTTTAATATTTTTTTTCTTGGAAAAATTTATCAAAATATATATGCATTCTACTATTTTTTGAGATTTTGCAAATTTTAGTTAATAAATTTTAAAATCTTTTGAAAATAAAATTTTTTAAATTAATTTTTTTTTGTAAAATCATAACTATGTACATTTTAATGTCTATAATTTTTTATTTTTTTAAATGTTTTCTTAAATATCTGCTTCTCACACTTCTGAAAAAATTTGTTCCTTAGGTTTCAAAAAAAAATTTTCATTACTTATTATTTATTTATCATTTTTTTTCGATTATTTCAAATATAAATAAATTATTATTCGACACATTATTTATGTTGAAATTTGCATTAAAAATTGACATACAAGTTTTGACAAAAAAAAGAATTAATTCTCAAAAATTTTAATAAAAAATATTTTTAAAAAAATAAAAGAGAAAACCCAAAATAAGTGCTTTTTTCGAGTAAATAAATAAAAATTTATAAAGTACGTAAGAGCGGGAATTGTTTTTCTTAGCAGATTCCCTCAGACGCCACGAGCGTTACCCAAACAGTTGGAACCAATCGAGGGGACAATGAAAACGCTTCCAATACGCGGGTAAACTTTGAAACTAAATTTTGATACACATTTTAAAATTCTTTACTGTGAAATTGAAAGAAAAATTTTCATTTGGCACAACATTATTTTTTGCGTGATAAATATTTTTTTTTGTACTTAGTAAAGAATTACGGCTTCTTATTATATTCTGCATTACAGTTTTAGTTTTGTTTTCTGAACCTGGATTAAAAAAATTTTGTTTTCAAAAAATTATATTTTATTTTTATAATATTCTGTTTTGTACGAAAAACTACAACTTTCTAATTCTAAAAGAAACAAAAAATGAAAATTGATAAATTGTTTTTATTGATTCATTACTTTTCTTTCATTAAATATATATAATATTACATTTTTTATATTTAATCAAATTAAATTATTACTAAAAATTTAAATAATTATTTGAATTATTTTTTAAATATTGAACGAAAAACAAATAATAAAATTTAATAAATTAAAATTTGACGTTGAATAAATTTATAAGAAAAAAAAAATAAATTTATAAAGAGTTTCATGGTCTATTGGTTAGCGCATTCGATTTTCAGCGTAATATTAAGGGGTTCGAATCCTGACGGCATTTTTTTTTTATTAGAAGTTTTTTCTGAATTTTTCAACAAAAACAAAATTATTCATTATTTTTTTTCATTAAAACTTTCATGAAGTATACATAATAAATAAAGTAAATAAAATAAATTTTATATTTAAAAGAGTAAATATAAAAAGGAGATTATTAAAAAAAATATTTTTTCCACCATAAAATAATTGCATTAAATATTATTTATCAACTCTCGAACTTAAATAAAATAAATGAATTAACTATAAAAAAAACTGAATTAATATATGAAATATAAAAAATAGAAATTACTATATAACAAAAATTAAATTCTTTTTTTAATTTTTGGAAATTTTGAAAAAATAAATAAAAACTTAACATAAAAGATTAATATAAAAGATTAAATTTTTAAAACACATTTAATTATTAAAGTTAATATTAATCTATAAATTAAAAAAATTTATTAAAAAATAAAATAAAAGTAATTAAACAAAAAAAAAACCAATTTTTGTCTTTTTAGAAGACATAACACAGTGGCATAGTTTCTAATCTCGATCTAAGTGTTACATAAAACCTTTTTCTCTCTTATCGCGATAAAATAAAAGTCTAGGAACTAAGAAAGGTTGTCCCAGAAAAAAAAGTAGGACTCTATTGAAAAATAGGATTCAAAATCGATCGCTTTTTGAGTAAACAAAATAACTCAGTTTACTTTGTATTGTATTAGTCATGAAAATACATTTTTAAATAATTATATATAATTGACATTTAATTGAATAAACAAAAAAATTTTTTTATTTACTAAATTACTTCAATTCAAAACAGAAAAAAAATAAAATTGAACTATTTAAAAAACGTATTTTAATTTCAATCTTTTTCACCCCCCCCTCCCCCTGCCCTTCGAAATAAGCAAATTTTTCTCATTTTCGCTTCTATTTTCATATAATAAACATGACAAGAAAATAAAAAAAAAATGCAAAAATAACTATTGATTATTTCCTCTTTGCAATTTTTGATAATTATTTTTTTAATAATACATTATTCGTGTTAAAAAAAATGATTTATAAAATTTTTTTTTCGAAAATATATTTTTCGAACACGGTGTGAAAATAGTGTAGAATTTTTTTTTTGTAACACGAAAGCTTTTGAAAGACTATTAATTATTTAATTAATTATTAATTATAATATTTGAAATAAATAGTTAATTATATTTATTATAAAATAGTTAATTAATTAATTTAGTGATTTATTGATAAAAAGGGGTTTAAGTGAATAATTTTTCCTTTTTTTTTCTTTATTGCAGTGATCATTCTGTTCCTTTTGGGAACATCATGTTCGATCGGCGAGTCGCGCGTGGAAGTAATTTTGCTTCCGCCACTGGTGACGTAAGTTTTTCTTTTTTACATTCATTTTATTTTTATTTATTTTTATTAATATTATTTTATATTTATGCTTGTATAACGTAAAATGAATGTTAAAAAAAATTATTAGGTACAATTATAATAAAAAAATGTAATAATAATAATAATTTATTTAAAATAAAAAAGGGTTTACAAAGGAAAAATGTAATACGGCCATTTCTAAAAATATTTTTATTATAAAGATGATTAATTAATTATTCTATATACTCTACTATTAAAGAACTTTCTATAATTACATTTTTTCGTGTATTTAGTCAATAATTATTAAATTAACTAGAGTTCTAAGTTTACGTCGTTGCCGAGCGTTGAAATGCGCCTATTGATTGGTCGTGCTCTACCCCCACTACTCAGAAGATGCACGCTTAGTTTTTGTTACTTAAATTTTTAAATTGTTATTAACAATAATTAATAAAGTAAATTTTATTATTTTGAACTTCTTTCATCTTTATTATTATTTTTATTAATTTAATAAAAAATATAAAATATTGTAAATTCAAAATATAAAATTCATAATTAATAATAATTAAAATAATAAATGTTAAATGATTTCAACGCAATTCTTTGAAAGAATTCAACTATCTTCATAAATATTAAAATTCTTTCCAGACGTTCAAATATTTACAAACATTTTTTAAAAAATTCTCGTCAACATTTCAATTATCTTTATAAATAGCAAAATTCAATTATTTTCAGGAATTTTTATAAAATTCATTGTAAAATTCAATTATTTTCATAAATAACAATCTTCATGACAAGAATTAAATTATTTTCAAAAAATCTAAAAAAAATGGTCAACATTTCAATTATCTTTATAAGTGAATAGCAAAATTCTTCGACAAAATTCAATTATTTACAAAAATTTTAATAAAATTCATGCAAAATTTCATTATTTTCCAAAAATTATCTTAATTCAATGATTTTTAATATTCGACTATTTTAATAAAATTTTCTAAAAGAATTCAATTACTAAACAAAAATTTTGATAATATTTTACACAAACATTCAATTATTTAAAAAAAAAAAAAATTCACTGGAATTCAATTATTTAGAATAGAATTTGCATAAATTTTTTCGAAAAAATCAAATGTTTTAAAATTTGGCATTAAATTCTTCTCAGTAATTCAATTATTTTCAAAAAATCTAAAAGAAATTTATTGTCAACAGTTAAATTATTTTTATAAATAAATAGTAAAATTCTTTAACAAAATTCAATTATTTTCATAAATAACAATATTCGTCACAAGAATTCAATTATTGTCAAAATTAATAAAATTCTTCGCAGAAATTCAATATTATTTTCAAAAAATCTAAAAAAAAATTGTTGTAAACATTGCAATTATTTTTATAAATGAATAAGAAAATTCTTCGACAAAATTCAATTATTTTCAGGAATTTTAATAAATAATAGTATTCATTATCACAAGAATTCAATTATTTTCTAAAATTTTAATAAAATTCATGTCAAAATTTCAATTATTTTCAAAAAAAATTTTTAATTCAATGACTTTCAATATATATTTGACTATTATAATAAAAATTCCCAAAAGAATTCAATTATTAAACACAAATTTTGATAAAATTCTACACAAACATTCAATTATTTTACAAAAAAATAAAAAAGTTTCACAGGAATTCAATTATTTAGAATAGAATACGCATAATTTTTTTTCGAAAAAATCAAATGTTTTAAAATTTGGCATTAAATTCTTCGTAGTAATTCAATTATTTTCATAAATTTTAAAATTCTTTTCAGGGATTTAATTAATTTCATAAATAATAAAATCATTCGGAGGAAGTATTCACATTATTTACATTTTTATTTAAGTAATTGAATTCTCGTAGAATTTTCTAATAAAAATTAATTTAAAAATTAATTACAGTTAAAGTTTTAGATAATTTAATTTTTGAGAAGTTACCAATAATTGAAATTTTTAGAAATAATTGAATTTTGTAAAGGTTTCAAATTAAAATTTTTGAAAATCTGAATTTTTCATATACTTTTAACTAACAAATTCTATGGAACTAATTTTTTTCAAAAAACTTAATCGAAATTTTTAAAAATTATTTAAAGTTTTTATTTTCTAACAAATATTTAATTGAAGAAGTTCCAAATAATTGAAATTTCACGTAAAATTGAATTGTAAACAAAATGGACTTAAAAATTCTCACAGAAGAACTTTTTCAAAAATTATTAAAAATAATTCATTTAAAGGAGAATTTTATTTGAATTCGAAATTTTTGAAAATCTTTTTTCCTATTGAAAAATAATAATGATTAAATATTTATTTAAAATTAAAGTTATTTTTTTTTTTTTTTTTGAATAATTTTACAATTGAAGAAATTCGTAAATAAATGTAATAGAATATTTTTTTGATTATCTATAATAATTTTTAGAGATGAAAATCAGAATATTTTTAGGGTCAGGGAAAAAGTGAAAATTTTGTCAGGAAATAAGGGAAAAACAAAATCTAATTTTTATGTCAATCTTGTAATAATAAATGAAAATAATAAAATGTAAAAAAAGTTTTAATTATTAGTAAATATTAATTATTTTTGTTTTATTTAATCCTCTGCTTTTGCTAACGACCGCTATGGTCAGAAATCGTTAGATTGAACTTCTGGTGGGGATAAGTTATTAACAACGGCAGAGAATTAAAAAAAAATTTTTTTTTTTAAATATTTTTAGCTGGATGGCGAATCGCAAGCAATGAGAAACGCGGAAATAAGAAAACGTGAAATGGCAAGAAGAAAAGCTCGTTCACAGGCGACAAAGGCCCTGCTAATGCGAATTGGTTCACCTCCTCCTGTACTGGGCCGAAAACACGAACCAGTACAAACCGATCTTTATCTCGAAGAAGTAAAAATTTTATAAATATTTATATAAAAAAAAAAATGTTATTTTTGTTCTAGTTTCAACAAATTTTAATTATTTTATTTATTTACAAATAATTCAATAAACAAATAATTTTGTTTTTATTTTCTTAATTTTTGTTTTTAAATTTTGTCATCATTTTAAATTAAGTCAATTTTTTTTTACCTAAACTTTCATATTTAATTTGAAATTTAATAGAAACAATAATTAGAGGTTATGTTCGACAATTTTTGTCAAGAGGTTAACTTCGAGGTTATGTTTGCCAATTAATGTCAAGAGGCGAACATTGAGGTTATGTTCGCCACTTTACCCCAAGAGGCGAACTTTAATGTTATGTTCGCCAATTGATATAAAGATTATAAATGTTAAATAAAATTTTTAAGATAAATTAAGACGGAGTAAAAATTAAAATTTTTATAAATGAAAAAAAATTTTATTTATATTGTTCTTAATTTCTTTTTTTCAGCTTTATGAAAAACCTGATGAACTAGAAGTAGCGACGCAAACGGATCATTATGTTGATCGGCCGGCAACACCAATTTTTTATCCGGAAAAAATTGGACAAGACGCATGCACACAAATTGAAGCCGGCGATGTGAGTTTTTATATTAAATTATTCACATTATATATTATCATTTAATAACGTCTTTAAACATAACTAGTTTCTATATATCAAATCAATAAAAAAAAAAAATGAATACACGTGTCAAGCACCCTAACTCTCTGCATTATATTTCTCTATACAAAGAAAATTGTAATATTTTCTTCTGTTCTCAAATACAGCATATTTAATATCACGGCAAGCTTCCTGCAATATTGATTAATATTTCAAATTTTTCAAAAATGCACTCTTTCGAATTGTCAAAAAAAAACAAAAAAAAACATAGTTTTGAATAATATAAGTTATAAATTTTGACTAAAAGTCTCGATTTTTTATATTTTAATTCAAATATTTTAACCTCTTCAAAAAAATATATATCTGCCATATTGGATCCGCCATTTTGAATTCTTAAAAATTTACTTCAGGGGGTCGATTATGTAATTTCATTTTCATTTTCACATTCATTCTCACTTTCACTTTCACTTTCTAAATCTACGTCATTAAATTTTCAATCGATCTATGTCGAGCTCAATTTTTGAATTTTTGTTTTTTAATAATTGTCTTTAATAACAATAATTATTTTAAAAAAATCATAAAATCGTAAACAATATTTCTTTTCAGCTTCATGAATTTAGAAAGTTAATCAAAAAAACTTTTTATAGTTATTTGACTATGACAGTGAGGTTCAACCAATTCTTGAAGTTCTGGTCGGCAAAACAATTGAACAGGCTTTAATGGAAGTTTTGGAGGAGGAAGAAATTGCGGCATTAAAAGAACAACAGAGAAGGTTCATGGAACTTCGCGCCGCTGAAAAGGAGGAGACACAAAGATTGGAGGATCAAGACAAACGTATACGAGAGGAAAAGGTATTTTGAAAAAAATATTTTTCTTTATACTTACTATGTTATACTTACTATTTATATTATTTAGCAACTATTCTGTACTGTTTTACCCCCTAGGGAAGTTAAAATAATCACAAAAATTGTGAAATTTCAGTTCTACGAAAAAGGGAACTGTGTGTCATATTACCCCATTATTGTTTAGGTGAAGACTATCACCCTAGCTTTTACCCCTTTAAATAAAAAAATTATAATAATTGTTATGACACTTTGCCCCAACAAATCAGAATATTTATTTAAATCACATTACTTTACATATTATGTTACATACGTAAATGGTGTCTATATAGACCTCCAGACTTTAGTTATATTTCATCCCAACTGGGGTAATATTGCACTTCAACAATCAGGAGGAGAATATTACAACAAAATCTATATGGTTACAAATAAAATAGATAGAGAAAGGTAGATTATGCATTTTGAGTCCCTCTAATTATGCGCTAAAATTGTGCACAATTATGCGGAATTATGCGCTTAAATTGTGTACAATTATGTGGAATTATGCGACCAAAAAATTAATTCTGCGTTAATTATGCGCTAAAATGAGCATGATTATGCAGAATTATGCAATTAAAAAGAATTCTGCTTCAATTATGCGCTAAAAAATGTTCATTTTACAAAATTATGTTGCATTTGAAAAATTTTTTTTGATTTGAAACGGTTACTGGTTATTTTTCGAAACCAACTTCCTGAAAGGTCCTATCCCGAATGTCTAAAATTACAAATACCTTTTTCCCGAATCTAATTTCCCGAAGATTTATGTACCCAAAAATTTCTTTGTTTTTTATTATGAAATGGATATATGTGCGACTCCAAGTAAGAATTTAGTTTTCTCGGAGTAAGTAAAACAATTGCAATAAAATTCAGGAATTTTAATCTACACATAAAAAGAAATGTTTCCACCACACTTAATTCAGCAAAAAAAACGAAACAATTGTTTATATTATGTTTATACAAATTTTTGTTAACACAACAGATATTAAATAATAATAATTAAATAACTTTTGAACGACCAAACGAAATTGAATGAGGCAAACACTAAACAAATCTTTGCTGTGGTTTCTTTAAGATTCCAAAAAAAATTTTAACAACGGAAACATCTTCATACAAAATTTTGTATAAAAGTATTCGAGATTTTAGACATTTGATAAATTAGACATTCGGGAAAATGACCGGAAACGATTTTACTCATCATAATTATATAGCACTTACTGCTTTTTAAAATTTAAGATTTATTTAATTTTTCAATAACATTTAACAAGTTAGTTAACAGTTTAAAAACTTATTTATTATTTAATTTAAAAAAATATTTTAAAAATAAAGAAACTGAAAAAAATGTTCATGGTTTTTAAATAAGAAAAGCACTATTTTGAAAATTTTTAGCCTATTATGCGATCATTATGCAAAAAGAGTACAATTATGCAGTGAGTAAAAAATTATGCAATATTATGCGCTCTAGAAACATGTTGTAAAAGGTTTAAAACATGAATTAACATAATATTATAATGTTTCTACTTGATTTTAAAAAATTATGCAATTATGCAATCGCATAATCTACCTTTCTCTAAAAATAGAACACAGTTTCAAATTAATATCGGGATAAAAATTCAACACAGTGGGGTGAAATGTGACCAACAATGCAATATCATCTGAACTAAGTTATTTCGCACAATTTTGATAATACAATAAATTACACAATTTTGTCTTACAAAAATTACACGGTAAATCGTGAGGTGTTAAAATAACACCAGAATGGATTAAAATAATCTACAATAGTTTAATCCCTCTATGATTAAATTAACAGCAGAAAAGATCAAAATAATCCATTTTGGTGTTATTTTTTACTGTGAATGAAATTTTACTTTAAATCAAACACGAAATCAACGATTTGACAAAATTCGACGAATTTAGCTTTAATAGGGACAATAGTTAGTTAGTAACTAACTTACTAACTAACGAGCTAACAGACTAAATTTCTAACTACCTTACTAACTTACATACTAACTTACTTTCTAACTAACTAACTTACAAAGATAATTACTAATTAACTTACTAACTTATTAACTAATTTACCAACCACCTTACTAAGTGACTTACTAACTAACTTACTAGCTTACTAACTAACTCACTTGCTAACTACCTGACTAACATACTAACGTACTTACAAACTTAAATACTAATTAACTTACTAAATATCTTACTAATTAACTTACTAACTAATTTACTAACTATCTTACTAACTAACTTACTAACTTACTAACTAATTTTTAGACTAAATTACTAACTAACTTATTAACTAACTTACTATCTAACTTATTAACTTACTCACTTACTTATTAACTTAGTAAGGTATTAAGTAACTAAGTGAGTTCGTAACGAAGTTAACTATAGTTAGTTAGTAACTATAAGTTAAGTAAGTTAGTTAGTCAGTTAGTAAGTTAGTAAGTTAGTAAGTTAGTAAGTTAGTAAGTTAGTAAGTTAGTTTGTTAGTTAGTATGTCAGTTACTAAATACCTTACTAACTAACTTATTAACTAATTTACAAACTTAATTACTAATTAACTTACTAACTTACTAATTAGCTAACTAACTTAGTAAGTAACTAACTTACTTAACTTAGTTACTAACTAACTTACTTAACTTTGTTACTATCTAACTAACTACTTAACTTCGTTATGAAATAACTTAGTTATTTAATACCGTACTAAGTTAGTAATTAAACAAGTTAGTTAGTAAGTTAGTTAGTAAATTAGTTAGTAAGGCAGTTAGTAAGTTAGTTAGTAAATTAGTTTGTAAGTTAATTAGTAACTTAGAAAGTTAGTTAGATTGTTAGTAAGTTACTTAGTTAGTTAGCTAATTAGTAAGTTAATTAGTAATTAAGTTTGTAAGTCATTTAGTAAGTTAGTTAGTAAGTTAGCTAGTAAGGTAGTTAGTAAGTTAGTTAGTCAGTTAGTAAGTTAATAAGTTAGTTAGTTAGTAAGGCAGTTAGTAAGTTAGTTAGTAAATTAGTTAGTAAGGCAGTTGGTAGTTAGTTAGTAAATTAGTTTGTAAGTTAATTAGTAACTTAGAAAGTTAGTTAGATTGTTAGTAAGTTACTTAGTTAGTTAGCTAATTAGTAAGTTAATTAGAAAGTTAGTTTTTAAGTTAGTTGGTAAGTTAGTTAGTAAGTTAATTAGTAAGTTTGTTAGTAAGTTAATCAGTAAGCTAGTTAGTAAACCAGTTAGTAAATTAATTAGTAAGTTTGTAAGTTAAGTTAGTAAGTTAGTTAGTTAGTTAGTTAGTAAGTTAATCAGTAAGTTAGTTAGTAATTTAATTAATAAGTTAGTTAAAAATTTATTTTAGTATGTTAATAAGTTAGTCAGTAGGTTATTTAGTAAGTCAATTAGTAAATTAGTTAGCTAGTTAGTAAGTAAGTTAGTTAGTAAGTTAATCAGTAAGTTAGTTAGTAATTTAATTAATAAGTTAGTTAAAAATTTATTTTAGTAAGTTAATAAGTTAGTCAGTAGGTTATTTAGTAAGTCAATTAGTAAATTAGTTAGCTAGTTAGTAAGTAAGTTAGTTAGTACGTTAAGCATTAAGTTAGTTAGTAAGTTTGTTAAAAAATTCTTTAATAAGTTAATAATTTCGTCATTAAGTTATTTAGTTAAAAAATTAGTTAGTAAGTTAATCAGTAAGCTAGTTAGTAAGGCAGTTAGTAAATTAGTTAGTAAGTTTGTAAGTTAAGTTAGTAAGTTAGTTAGTTTGTTATTAAGTTACTTAGTTAGTTAGCTAATTATTAAGTTATTTAAAAAGTTAGTTTTTAAGTTAGTTAGTATGTTAATTAGTAATTAAGTTTGTAAGTTAATTAGTAATTAAGCTTGTAAGGCAGTTAGTAAGTTAGTTAGTTAGCTAATAAGGTAGTTAGTAAGTTAGGTAGGTAGGTAGTTAGTAAGTATGTTTGTTAGTTAGTTAGTTACTTAGAAAGTTAGTAACTTAGGTAGTAACTAAGTTTTGATTTGAAGTAAAATTTTAGCCATAGTAAGAAATATCACCAATGTAGATTATTTCAATCCTTTTTGGTGTTAATTTAATCTGCAACGCTTTTTAATACCTCACAATTTACTATGTACATTATAGTTAAGTTAGATTACACAGTCGGGGTATTATGACGTCATCAATACGGAGTAAACTAGCCTAAAAATAAAAATATAGAAAAGAAAAAAAATATAAGAATATATAATATAAATACATAAATATATAAAAATATATAAGAAAGAAGTTTTCTTTTTTTTTAAACAGAGAGAAATGAAAAAAAGAGAATAAATTTAAAAATTAAAATTATTTATAGACTCGCCGTGTAAAAGAACACGAGGATGCAATGAGAGTGCAACAAGAGACTGAGGATCGAGTCGCGGCATCGGTTCTTCTCACCGGTTATATTGCAGAATTACTTCCGGCCGTTCTTGAAGGCCTTAAAATGTCCGGAGTTTTATTAGACGAAATTAAGGCTGGTGAGTTTTAAAATATAGATGTTCCACTTATTCTATTTTATTTTTTAAAAAATAGCTTAATTCATTTTTTTTGGGTCACTGATTACGAATATGAAATCAGTTTTTCAAAATTCAAAATGGCGGAAGAATTTTTAAAAATTGATCGAATTCGTTTGAAACTTGTTATTATAGAAATCCAACAATTTTTTAAAATTTGGCCGCCATATTGGATCCGCCATTTTGAATTTTGAAAAACTGATTTCATATTTGTAATCAACGAACCCAAAAACCCCCGAGTAACAAGTTTCAAACGAATCTAATCAATTTTTAAAAATTCGTCCGCCATATTGGATCCACCATTTTGAATTTTTAAGAACTGACATAATATTTATTCGTAATAACAATAGGTCACATTTGACCTATAAATTTTGACGTAACGTGACGACCCTCATGAGGGGGCCCTTAGAAAATCCTAACTCTGCGGCGTGTAGTAAAATCTAATAATTTATTAGAGTAATTAATTTTAACTGTATGATAAATTTTCAAACTTTATTTTATTTTTCAGATGTGGAAGATGGTTTTATGCCGTGGTTAATGAAAGAAGTCAAAAAGGAAGTTGGCTCCATGATCGACAGTAGGGAATTATTAATTGGTATGTTTAATTTTTATTAATTTTTAAATTTTTATATAGCAATTTTCAAAGCATTTTTAGTGGTGTTCTCAATGATAATAATGTTTTTCCAAATGATTTTAACTATAAGTTTATGTTTCAAAAAGAAATTAAATTTAGAAAAATTTCTCGTAAGCATACAAGTTGTAAAAAATATTATTATTATTATTATTATTATTATTATTATTATTATTCATAATTACATTTTTTTAAAAAAGTAATTACATTAAAACAATAAATATTCATTGTTCTTTTTTAAAAATCAAGATTTTTAATTTACTATTGATGGCTTTATTTTTCGAGTAATAAATTTATATCTTTGTAACGTCACTAATTTCCTGAACAATTATGGTTCCTTCATCCTAATTGCAAAATCCTTGGAAAATAAAAATAATTTTCAACGAACCATCGACTTCTAAATGTTAAAACCAGCCCTCAGGTAAAATTTGTCGCGACATTCTGAAATCTTTCAAGATCAAAAATGTCTGCGTCTTTTCACACAAAAATTTTTCAAAGCCTATTACTTACTTGTTCTCGAAAGAGTAAAAGTGCTGGGAGAAAGAGAAAAAGTATCATAAATAATATGATAATCAACCATCAACACATGTACCTTTCGGCTGTGTATCGTCAAGTAAAGTTTTCACATTTTTTTCCTTCAATTCTCTCTCTCTCTCTCTTTCTCTCTAGAACTCTCGAAATACTTATTAAGTTTGAAACATCATTTTCTCACAGGTTTTCGCACCTGTAATTATCGTAAATGGAAAAAGACCCTCATTAACGTTTATTTTATTTAAGCAAATACACTTGGAATAATTTCATCGCAATTTAAATCAAGTGAAAAAATTTACGAAAAGAAAAAAAAATTTTTTTATTTAATTATTTTTATAAGTATATTATAGTTATAATTATATTAATTGTATAAATATTAATAATAATTAATTAATATTATAATTTAATTAATATTTAATTAATATTAATTAATTTTCTTTCTTAAATGTGCGACTCTTGTCAGATTTTTAAAATTCAAAATGGTGGATACAATATGGCGGACGAAATAATTGACACTAGAAAAAATCCAATTTTTGAAAAATTACAAATAATGGCAGAAATTCAATTATTTTCAAGAGTGATGCAATTCTTCATATAAAATTCAACTATCTTTCAAATTTAAAAAAAATCTTGTCAAAATCCCAATTATCTTTATAAATAACAAAATTCTTCCCCAAAGTTCAATTACTTTTCAAACTTTTCAAATCAATTTCAAATTCCCCAAAATAATACACGAACATTTAATTATTTTCATAAATAATAAAAATTTCACAAGAATTCAATTATTTATAAATTTTTTTATAAATTCCTTCGCAATAATTCAATTATTTTTATAAATAATAAAATTTTTTCAATTATTTTCAGAAAAAATAATTAAAAATTGTAGAAAATAATAATTGATTTGAAATGATGAAAATAATTTTGAAAAAGTTACAGTAATAATATTCAATGATTTTATCACTCGGTCATCTTTAATTATTATAATAAAAAATGAAGAAATCGATCACTCCGAGTCTTCGACTCGGAGCAATGGCTATCTTCATGTTTTATAAAAATATTCTTATAAGAACATTTTTTTGAGCAAAATTTTTTCCTTTATTTTCTAAAAATTTAAAACTTAAAATAAAAATTTGTAATACGTATTTATTTTTAAATATCTCTAATTGTAAAATTATTTGGAACTTAAATAGATTTTTTTTAAATAAATATTTTATTATTATTATTTTTTTTCTACAGGTATTAAGATTTCAAAAAAAATTTCAAATTTTAAATCCTTTAAGATTGAATAATTTATAAGAATTGCTACTATAACTTATTAAAAATTATTTTCCGGATTTCAATTCAATTATTTTCTGGAAATTTCAACTAAAATTTATACTTCTCCAATTCAATCACCTATTTTTAATATTTTTTTTAAAAAGTTCCTTAAAAATTCAATTTCTTCAAAAAAAGTTCACCTGAAACTAAAATATTTCTAAAATCCACTTGTTTACAAGACAATTTCATGAAATTTCGAATAATTTGAAAATTTTTCTATTATATTTAAAAATATAAGTAATTTCAAAAAAATGTGAAAAAAAATGTGAAAAAAAACTAACTTATTCAGAATTTTCCATTAAAAATTTTTTAAAATATTCAACTTTTCTAAAACTTTAATTTTAAACTTTTTGAAATTCAATCTATATTAATAATATCAGTAATATTAATTTAATATATTCTGAAATATAAAAATAGTTACTTATAAATTATTATAGAAAAACGAATTCAAATTAATGCAAAGTAGTTTTTTAAAAATTTATTTTCTAAGAAAAACAGAATTTTATTTATTTTTATTTTTTTATTTACACTTTATTTATTATTTCGAAATTAATTTTTAGAAATTTTGCATCACATTTGTTCTAATTAGTTTAAATTTTTACTAATTCAAATTTAGAGAATAAGTTTTCTGATATTTATTGCAAAAAAAAAAATTTATTTAAATTGATTTATTTTTCACATTTTTTATATGTGAAATTTTTTCTCTCTTTCAAATTTTTTCGACAAATTTAATTAAAATTGTATTGAAAATAATTAAATTATTTTAAAGAATTGTAATAAAGTTGTTCTTTTTTTACTTTTGTATCTAAAATTAATCAAAAATTGAAGTTGATTTTTGAAAATAAAAAATTTTGTATGTAATTTACATAATTATAATAAATTAAATAGCCAGTTTTCCTATACTTATTCATATATTATTTATAAAAATTAAAAGCGCAACTTTTATAAAATTCAATTATTTCTTTGAATTTTTAATTAAAATTATTCACTTGTTGCTAATTCGGAATTTGTATAAAGAAATTGTTTAAAAAGTTGTTAAATAATTGTGATGAATTATTTTTATCTCAAAGATTCATTAAGAAAGCAGTAAAAAAAGTCGGTGGAGAAAATAACTATTTTTTCAGCTTCAATTGTTGTCAATTCTTAATTTGTTTATAACATTGTTAAATAATAATGTTAAAAAATTTTTATTTCCAACATTCATTGCAACTGTAAAAATAAGAGCGATATGAAAAATTGCTTTTTGACAATATTTGTGAATTTCAAATTAAAAAAAAAAAAAAAATTGTTTTTGTTGTAAAAATCTAATTTTAGATATTAAATTACATTATCTATTTAATTGACCGGCACATTAATACAAAAAAATACAAAATTAAATAAAATATTCTCTCTTTTTGTTTATAGATATTATTAAGGAAATTTTGGAAAATCGAGCAGAAACTTACAGAAGACTTGGAGAAGAATACGATTCATCGAGAGAGGCAGAAAAAATAATTACAAATAAAGAAATAGTTTTGGAAAATATTTCTAATCAATCCCAGGAATCATTTAATACAAATCAAGATGAAAATTAGAAGAAAGGTAAAAAAAAACTAATTTTCAGAAATAGTTTTTGCAAAATTTTAATTATTTACGATAAAAAAAACGTAATAGAGGTTAAAAAATTTAGAAAAGATTAGATAGAGCGAGAGAGGGAGATGAGAGAGGGAAATTATTGAAAACAGAAAAATCCGATTAAAATCGAGATTAAAATCTAATTGTGTGCAATGATCTTAGCACTGTCTCTCTCTCTCTTTCTCTTTTCCTGATCCGATACAAGGTTTTAAGCGAAAGGTTAGTTAGCATTGGATTAGGGACACCTTAACCAGCAAATGAAATAACCCCCAGTTAAACATTTTCTACATTAAGCAGTGTACACAGCTGCACGACAAATCTATCCCTTCATAGTCGAGAATCTCCATCTCCTACTCTCTCTCATCAAACAAACAAAACATCCCTAAAGGGTCACCAATTGAAAATTAATTGTATCGATCTTTTTCTCTCTTTAAAATTAATTTTTCTATTTTCTCTCATTTTTACAAAGTATTTTTTATATTTAGATATTTTAATTTCATATTTGTCTCAATTTTTTCAAATTTAATATCAATTATACTTTAATTTTAAATTTTTTAAATTTAATTTCAATTTTGTACGAATTTTTTAAAATTAATTTCAATTTTATCTTAATAATCTTCAATTTATTTGCTAATTCTTAATTTTTTCAAGTTTAGGTTAATTTCATTAACCATATTTTCAATTTCGTTTCAATTTTTTTAATAAAATTTCAATTTCGGCTCAATTTTATCAATTTAATTTCATTTTTACTTCAATTTTCAATTTTATCAATTTAATTTCAATTTTCTGTTAATTTTAAAATTCTTCTCAATTTTTTCAATTTTAAGTTCAATTTTAACCAAATTTTCAATTTAATTTCAATTTCGTTTCAATTTTTTCAATTTAATTTCAATTTTATCATAATTTTCAATTTATTTTCAAATTCTTCTCAATTTTTTTAATTTTGACCAAATTTTCAATTTAATTTCAATTTCGTTTCATTTTTTTCAATTTAATTTCAATTTCGTCTCAATTTTTTCAATTTAATTTCAATTTCGTCTCAATTTTTTCAATTTAATTTCAATTTTGTCTCAAATTTTTCAAATTTAAGTTCAATGTTAACCAAATTTTTCAATTTAATTTTAATTTAATTTCAATTTTATCTTGATTTGTAATTTATTTTCTAATTCTTCTCATTTTTTTCAATTTTGACCAAATTTTCAATTTAATTTCAATTTCGTTTCATTTTTTTCAATTTAATTTCAATTTCGTCTCAAATTTTTCCATTTTAATTTCAATTTTACCACAATTTTCAATTTTTTCAAATCAATTTCAATTTTGCCCGAATTTTTCTTAATTTAATTTCAATTGTATCTCAATTTTCAATTTAATTTCAAATTCGTATCGAATTTTTTCAATTTTAAGTTTTATGTTAACCAAATTTTTCAATTTAGTTTTAATTTCGTTTAAATTTAATTTGAATTTTATCTTAATTTTCAATTTGTTTTCAAATTCTTCTTAATTTTTTTAATTTTGACCAAATTTTCAATTTAATTTCAATTTTGTCTCAAGTTTTTCAATTTTAATTTTAATTTTCAATTTTTTCAATTTAATTTCAATTTTGCCCGAATTTTTCTCAATTTAATTTTAATTGTATCTGAATCTTCAATTTAATTTCAAATTCCTCTGAATTTTTACAATTTTAACCATATTTCCAATTTAATTTCAATTTCGTCTCAATTTAATTTCAATTTAATTTCAATTCCGTCTGAAATTTTTCAATTTTAATTTCAATTTTACCTCAATTTTCTCAGTTTAATTTCAATTTTATCTTAATATTTCAATTTATTTTCAAATTCATCTCAAATTTTAAAATTTTTAATTTGACAAATTTCAGCTTCAATCCAAAGATTAATAAATATTAAATAATAAATAATTTTTATTTAAAAAAATTTTTAATTACATTTTTTTTATTTCATAATTCTTAAAATTTTGAATAATTTTATTCAATAATTTAAAAAACAATAATTGAATTTTGGAAGAATTACAGTTGCAATTTTTAGAAATAATTAAATTTCAAAAGTTTCTTCATTGAAATTATTTGAAATTTTAATTCCTGTGGGGAAAAATAAATAATAATAAGTTTTTAAATTTTTTAAGTTTTGAATAATTTGATTTAGAAATACCGAAAAAACTTGTTTCTTGAAAAAAAGTAAATAGAACTTTTTAAAAATAATCGTAGTTCCGATAACAATAATTAAAAAAAAAATTGAAACAATTGAAAATTCTGTCAAATTTCATTGAAATAAATTTTATATTTTAATGACTTTTATTTGTTTACTTTGAAAAATTATTTTCGAAATATACTCGTATTTTTGAAAAATTCTAATTAAAAATTTGGAAAATAATTGAATTTTAAAAAACTTTAGAATTGAACTTATTACCAGAATATTCCAGTGGTTTTTGAAAGTTTAATTATTCAATAAAAAATATGTTACATTCAAATTATTGTTAGAAATATCTTGGCGATTTCTACACGAGTTGTTTAAATAATTCTTAATTTTTTTTTAAATTTTAAGAAAAACTTAAAAAAATTACGTTTTTTAAAAAATTAAGAGAATTTTTATTAAATTTCAAAAAGAAAATCTTTTAAAGGAATCGTTCATAAATTACGTGAGACATTTAGGGGGAAGGGGGGGGGGGTGTCTTGCTAGTTCTTACGAACAATGGAAAAAATGGCGCTAATGTATGTAAAATATCTTACGAGGGGGGAGCAAGGGGGTCAAATTTTCCAAAAAAAATATTTTTTGTAATTTACGGACGGCCCAAAAATAATATTAATAATAATAATTATTATTATTATTAGGTATAATACACGTAATAAAAATAAATAAGAAACATTTTTATCTTCTTCAGATTCAATACCTCAGGTGGACATTTAATTGGATTGTGATTTAAAAATTAATTTCAAAAATTAATTTACGTTGACCACAATGAAAAAAAAGGAATTATCATAAATACATCAACAGAAAAGGAAAAATAAATAAAACGACTGTGTGCAATAAATTTCTTGTTGAAAAAGGCTGTTCTTTTTTTTTTAATTTTAAAAATGTGTTTATTAAATGCAGTGAATAAAGAAATAAAAATTTTATTATGTTTCTTTCTTCATTATATTCGCCTTGTGACCTGCAAATCAAAATTACATTGTTATCTTTTTTTTAAATGTAGTTTTTTTCAGTTAATTTTGAATATTTAAGTTTGTTAATTGAATTGCGTTTTTTGTCCGTTTTTCACAATCATATTAAAATTTTTATGATATTTTGACTTAAATTTTAGGTCAATAAAAATAAAAAGTTAAATTTTTTTCTTGAAATTTTGTTTCTTTTACTAGAATTTGAAATCAAGTATCAAGTTTGTCAGTTATAAGGAGTTACTCACCTGATTGAGATTATGTTAATTTAACCATTATTTGACCTATTATTTTGACCTAAATTTTAAAAATTAAAATTTTTTTTACCCTATTTTCAAAATTTTTTACAATCTAACAATTGTTTGAACTTGTTTTTTATAGGTCCTGACCACTAATTTTGACCTAAGAGTTTGACCTAAAATTTAAAATGTACGTCTTCACTAATTTCTTTTTTTTATCGATTAATAATTCTAGGTACCCAATGGGAAATGCCAGTGTAGTGCCGATGTTTACCACTGGCTTAGTACTCAGACGATTGTTCGGCGTAGTCTAGCCGAGCCTCGACAATTAGTGCTGGCGCAGTACAGAACTTTTGTTTCGCCAAAGCTTGGACAAGCCACGGCGGCAAGTGCTGCACTGGAAAAAAAAAGTCTGACTCCGTTTACACCTTAAATTCAGCCCATGTATTTCACATAAGTCTGTCCTTGTCTAACGGGGCTGACTCCGTTTACACCTTAAATTCAGCCTCAAAAAGAGGCTGAAAGTAAGACTTTTTTTTTAGTGTGTGGCTGAGTATAGAAAAATTGTTCACGACGCTCTTTGCCAACATTGCTTTTTTGACATAAACTTGAAAAAAATTATAAAAAAAGTTTATGAATGTTTACAAATATAAATTTATTGAAAAAATTAATATTTTACTTTTCAGTTGTTCATTTTTTATTCTTATTAAATTTAATAATAACAATTTAACACAATTGTCTAATTTTGAAAATAATAAATTATTTAAACAAATTAAAATTATAAACAAAATTTAAACTTTAATCTCAATAATAATTTGGTTCCTATTAAAATACTATTATACTTCTTACTATTAAAAATTTAGTTTAATTTGTTTTATTTCAATTTATTATTTCTAACGTATCCCTATTTTTTCTCATCTTTGACTCAATAATTGTATGTATGAATGATACTGAGATATTAATACTTTACTATACACATGTGTCGTTAGCATAGTGGTTAGAGCGTTAGTCTGTTAGTCCGTAGGTCGTAGGTTCGATTCCCCTCGTCAGCAATTTTGTTTATTTTCATAGGTTTGCGATATTTCAAGATTCCAATCGTTAGGTACTAAAATATGAAAATCTAATGCACACTTACTGTAATTGGTTATTATTTAATTTTTAAATGTTATAAACAATTTTTTTCTACTTCATTTACTATATCCATTGTTAGTCTCCATCTTTAATTCAATTTCTTTAAGAAGAGAAATATTTATGAATAATAACTGTTTATTAATATTATTTACCATTTTGTTGTTAAATTATTTATAATTATTAATTTACGACTAATTAATAGCAATACGGCATTTATTGCGGCAATATTCTCAGCCAGCACTGGTCCAGTGCTGCGCCAGCGCTGTCTGGCAGCACTGACAGACAGTACTTCGGCAGCGCCAGACGGCGTTATCATCCCAGCGCCATGCCAGTGCTGGCTCTCAGCCTTGCCGCCAGTGCTGCCAGTGCTGGCGCAGTACTACGCCAGTTGTAAATTTCCCATTGGATAAATGCATAGGATTTATGACTAAAATGAGCAGAAGGTAATTTATTTTTTTTTAGATAAAAGAAATAATTCCGAAAAACGATTTTTTACGGTACCTTAATTACAAAAAAAAGCTTTTCTCTCGCAAAAGTTTCTTTTTTTTTTGGCCTCTTTTTTAACGTGATAAATCCGATAATTTGTAAAAGCGTGAAAAAAATTAGTCATCTTTGTGAATTTTGTTTTGACTAATTATGACGAATGTATAATCAAAAAACGATAATAATTTTCAATTATAAGTAAATTACTTTGTGTCATTTGAGAAAATTTGGAAAACTTGTGTATAGAAATATCTTTTTTCGTAAATCATCTTTTAAATATTTTTTTAATGATAAAAATCGAAAGTCGGTGGAAAAAAATCTTATGGTTTGCAATATATTATATGTTTAACATATTGGATTTCAATTTTTTTTTCACAATATTTTTTCAGTATTTCAATACCTATTCAATTTCTTAATTAATGAGGAAAAAATTTTTTTATAAATAAAATTATATTATTTTTGACCATTTGGACCTAAAAATTGATTTCAAGTTTTGAATTTAAAATTAAGCAGACTTCACACTTGATAATTAATTTTAAAAGAGTAGCAAAAAGTAGATGAAAAAAAGTTAGTAAATTTAAATATTTACAAAAATAATTTAATGTTTATGAAGATTTTTATAAAAATTTTTAAATAATTAATTTCCTTCTACTAATTTTATGCAAATTCTCTAATTTAAATAATTGAATTCCTGCGAAATATTTATTATTTATGAAAAGAATTGAATTCTTAAAAAGATTGTTACGAAAAATTTTTAGATAATTGAATTATGTTTCGAAATTTTATGAAAATATGGTAGATATTGAAAATCATTGAATTGCAAAAAGTTTTTAAAAATAATTAAATTCTACAAAGAATTCTGTTAAAATTTTTTACAATAATTGAATGTCTGTGTGGTATTTTATTAAATTGTTTTGAAAATAATTGAATTCATAAAAAGCATTTTATTATTTATGAAAATAATTGAATTTTTGACAACGATTTTTTATTAGAATTTTTTAAAATAATTGAATTGACAAGAAAAAGTTTATTACTATTAAAAATAATTGAATTCTTGTGATGAATATTGTTATTTTTGAAAATAGTTTAATTTTGCAAAGCATTTTATTAAAATGCCTCAAAATAACTGAATTTTCGCGAATAATTTTGTTATTTATCTTTAATAATTGAATTCTTTCCATGAATTATTTATGTAAATAATTGAATTCTTCGAAAGAATTTTATTAAAATCTAAAAGAATAATTGAGGCCTTGGATCCAATAACTCGCCCGACGCTCGGAGGAACGCGCAACTACCAGTCAGTGAGCAGTGAGCGCCTCTGGGCCACTCACTGCTACCCGACTGGCATTAGCGCGAGTCTCCGAGCGTCGGGCGAGTTATTGGATCCAAGGCCTCAATTGAGTTATTTCAAAAAAATTTAATCAAAATTGTATTTAAAATAATTGATTTCTTTCGAACAATTTTTTAAAAATATTTGAAAATAATTGAATTCCTGTGCAAATTTAGAATATTTTTGAAAATAATTGAATTCTTACAAAGAATTTTAAAAAAACATTTTTTTAAATAATTAATTTTTTCGAGGAATTGAAATTAAATTTTTAAAAAATTTTCGAGCAATTCCTGTGAAATTGTACTAAAAATAATTGAAATCCTGCGATGAATTTTATTATTTATTAAAGTAATTGAATAATTGCTAAGAATCTTATTAAAATTTTCAAAAATTATTGTATTTCTGAGAAGAATTTTATTATTTATAAAAAAAATAATTGAATTATTGCGAAAATTTTTTTTAAAATGCTTTGAATTTCTGTGAATAATTTTGTTATTTATGCAAATAATTGAATTCTTCATAAGAATTTTATTAAAATACTTCAAAATTATTGAATTATCGGGAATAATTTTTTTTTACTTCAGAATTGAATTCTTTCGAAGAATTATTTATAAAAAGAATTGAATTCTTACAAATAAGATTTTTATACAAAAATTTTTTTAAAAAATTGAAATCTTGTGATGAATATTGTTATTTATGACAATAATTGAATTTTCCAAAGAATTTTATTAAAATGCCTCAAAATAATTGAATTTTCAGGAATAATTTGTTATTTATCGATATAATTGAATTCTTTCGAAGAATTATTTATGTAAATAATTGAATTCTTGTGAAAAATTTTATTAAAATCTAAAAGAAAAATTAAATTATTTAAAAAAAAATTTAACTAAAATTGTATTTAAAATAATTGATTTCTTTCGAACAATTTTATTAAAATATTTGAAAATAATTGAATTCCTGTGAAAATTTCTAATATTTTTGTAAATAATTGAATTCTTTCGAAGAATTTTAAAAAAACATTTTTTTAAATAATTAATTTTTTCGAGGAATTGAAAATAAATTTTTAAGAATAATTACATCTTTCGAGCAATTCCTATATGTAAAATTATTGCATTAAAAATAATTAAAATCCTTCGATGAATTTTATTATTTATGAAAATAATTGAATAGTTGCTAAGAATTTTATTAAAATTTTCAAAAATAATTGAATTCCTGAGAAGAATTTTATTATTTATGAAAATAATTGAATTATTGCAAAAAATTTTATTAAAATGTTTAAAAAGAATTGATCTTCTGTGAAAAATTTTGTTATTTTTAAAAATAATTGAATTCTTCATAAGAATTTTAAAAACCTTGTTGAATAATTAATTTTTTTGGAAATATATATCTACTAAATATTATGAAGAAATTATTTTTTTTAAATAATTGAATTCTTGTGAAAAACTTTAGGTATTTGTGAAAATAATTGAATTTTTCCGATTAATTAATTTGAAATAGTATGAAAAAAAAATAATTGAAATTTTTCGATGAGTTTTATTATTTATGAAAATAATTGAATTCTTGCTTAGAATTTTTATGAATTTTTTTTTAAAATTGAATTTCCTTGAAAAATGTTATTATTAGTGAAAATAATTAAATTGTGAAGAATTTGTATAAAAATATTTTTAATTTAAATAATAATTTTTGTTAAATTCTAGATTCTTTTGAGATTTTTATTAGAATTCCCCCCTCCTCTATTTTTACAGTAGAAAAAAACTTCTTTTAACATTTTTCTACAA